AAAAAAAAAATGAGCTTTCTTCCTTCCTGCTCTACTTTCCACATTCCCTTCCCCTTCCTGCATTCACCATCCCCCCTGTAAACACAGTTGCACGCACACCCACACAGCTGCTCTCCCTTGCTGTCACTATACTGCCACTCATATATAAACAAATAAGCACACAGACCCATATATATATATATATATTTACTTATGAAGAAAACAAACCCAACAGTAAAAAGGTAAAAAAAAGGAGACTCACACGCACCTAGTTTGTCTCCTCATATCCTTACCTGCAACGATGGTGCTCACCCGTCTCAAGTTTCTTTTTTGAAACCTCTATTTCCTGCGTTCATTCTCTTCCCCATCTCTCTTTCTCTTTCTTCGCTTTTCTCTTGCGTTGGCCTCTACGTAGCGTTCTGTTAGGCCGCTTGGCCGTTCCGCCCCACTCGCCGTCTCACTCGCGCTTGCGTCATTTCTATCCTCTGTGACTCTTGCTGCTGGAGCTCCCAGCCCTTCCCTTTTTCTTGCCATCCCCCCTCTGTCATTTGCCTCCACTCACTCTTCTTGTTTCGCGCCCCTTTGCCTCCGCATCCCGTTCTCTCCGCCCACCATCGTGGTCGCCGGCGGCAACAGTACGCAGCGCGCCGTCACTTGCTCCACGACGAAGGGGCGGGACTTTTGGGTGCCCAGCGGAGGGGTGGTGGAAGCACACAAATAAGAGAAAACAATCCCGACAAAACAAGAAGCAAGCACAATAACAAAACAAAAAAGATTTATTCCGTTGTATTCACTCCCGCCGCCAAGGCGTGCGAGGGGACGCAAATAAACAATACAGGCGGTGGGAAACGAGGGTGGACGGACCAAGAAAAAAAACGTCGGCGGAGCGGCAGCAGCGACCTGTTCCCCAGCAGGTGTGTGTGTCCGCCGCCTTTCTTCGCCCGCGCCGTGGGTGCGCACACGCACGCAGACGGTGGGACCCCTGATTCTCCCCCACGCGCGCGTGTTGCAGCACCGACTACCCTCACTTGTTTCCCCTTCGATCGTTGCCTCACTCCTCCGATTAAAAAAAAAAAATTCCCTCGATTTCATCGCCGCATATAGGGAAGTTTACTGCCTGTCCCTTTTTCCCCATCTGAATCATTCACTTTTTTAAAAATTCATATTCACTTTATTTTATCCATCTTAACTTTCATTTCCCCCCCCAGCCCGTTCAATTCTTTCTTCTTCGTGTTTCCACTTGCCCGTAATTAGCGTCTACGCACCCCTCGGAAGGAAGGCACGCCTCTCGCATTCACGGCGCCGGAAGAGCAACGCATGACAGCATTACCTCCACCAGGAAAACAAACCAACAAAAAACAACAACAACAACAAAAGAACAATGAAACACATCAGCAGAAGACGGGCATGTGTGCCTTCGTGGGAGGAGTGGCGCACACAGTCACGTTTCCCCAAGCGTGCCGTGCTGCCGCCCCACCCCCTCGCACACGCCCTCCGTCTCCCCCGCGGCAGCGCGGCGGGGGGGCCGCGGGTGTCGAGTTCCCCGTTCTCGCCCCCGCGGCCACACACGCCGTTGTGGACGCCGCACACAACCGAGAAATAAAACAAAGCAAAAAGAATCAAACATCAAAAACATCATCACAAAACTAAAACATGCACCGCCAAAGGAAAAAAAAAATGCTGAAAACACCACAAAAATACAGCAGCTGCAGCTGAGGTAAATCAAACCAGGAAGAGTGCGAGCAGCTGTCGCCTCCGTCGTGTTTCCTTGTCAGTCACCCGCACGCGCGTCCGTCACGCACGCTACGAGGGGCGGGGAAACAGAGACAGAGAGTGAGAGAGGCGCAGTTGGTGGAGGAGGACTGCCCACGGCGGATCCGCGGGCACATTCATCATTAACGTACGAATGAAAAAAAAAAAACCAAAAGAGGGAGCGAGTGAGAAACACAAACACATGAACAGCGGCAAGAGAAACAAATCAAACACATACAGAAACGTAGGGGAGGAGAAACCTTTCCCTCCCCCCTACCCCACCCCTCAAAAACAACAAATCCTGGTTTCTATGTTGTGCCCGGAACGCTCTCTCCCCGTGTGTTCTGAAGGGAGCGACAACAACAGCAGCAACAACAAAAAAGGTGAATGACGATAGAGGAAGGACACAGCAACACACATATATATATATATATAGATCTTCTTATATAACTGTGTGCAGACAATAACGGGTGAATGACGAGCGAGTGGAAAAAACGGTCACGGGCGGGACGGAGTGCTCCACGAGAATCAACGCACAGCAAACCGATTGAACTCCGACAACCAACAAACAAGGGGAGAATGGCGTAATAACACCAAAAAGACAAAACACACGCACACACAACAATGAAACCAAAATAGAAAAGGGAAAGAAATCCGAACAAAGGTGTATCCATTTCGTTCCTCCCTGTTTTTTTTGGGGGGGGCGCGTGGAAATTTCTGACTTCGCACGGGCGACGATAGCGGGCGACATCGGTAGGAGACAACTCCCCCAGCCGCGCCGCCACCACCGCCCAGAGTGAGTACGCGCCTCCGCTGCTGCTGCCGACGCGGCCGCGGGCACGGGGGTATACCTCTACTGAATTAGTGGAAAGGAAAAAAAAACGCCACACAGAAGCTACGGAGGAGGGACTCTAGAAAAAAAAAAGGTAAATAAACCCAAGAAAACAAGAATGAGATTCATACACCCACTTCACGAATCACATTACCTGCTTTTCTACCACTCCGTGCTTCACATGCGGCCCTTGCTCGGGCGATGCGGTGCGAGCATGCCGCTTTGGCTGCCGCGCTGGCCACGCGTATCACCTTGAATCGGCGGCAGCGAGTCGCTGCGCCGCAACAACCGATCGCGACTGTACGCCCGCTCGCGGCTGAAGGTACGCTCACGGCTGAAAGTACGCTCACGGCTTGCGGTACGACCGCCATTCGGCGCACTGCGCGGGAGCATTGGGAGGCGCAGCTGCTGCGAGAACGGCTTTGCGTCCGGCGGAACCGGGACAAAGTTTACACCGGTCTCCTTCGGCGTGTAGATAGACAGCTGGCACGGACAGCTGACAGACTTGGAGCTGCCGCGGCAGGCTATCATAACGGAGTACCGTCCACCCTGCGCAACACGAAATACGAGCGCCTGCTCGCGGGCATTTGTTACATCCCTCGCCGCCACCTTTATGCCGTACTCGTTGTACACAGCCATCGACAATTCGTCCTCTGCCAGGACGTCGCTTTTCTTCACAGATGCCGGATCACTCACCTTTGTCTGCCGCAGCAGCACGTGAACATCGCACGGATCGTCGAGGAGGAAGTCCACGCGTGTCTCCTCCTCACTTCCAGGCGTTAGCGTCACTTCTGTTGTCAACGGCTCGCGCCTCAGACCCGCACCACGCATCGGCGTAAGTGTCACCTTAGCCATATCCGGATACGCTGAAATGCTGAACTCACCGTAGCTGCCTCGCTTCATTGTGTATGGGATGAGGTAGCATGTGGTGTTGGGCGGCAGCTCCATTTGCGAGCACACTTCCCTCGCGTCGAGCATCATACCCTTCTGTAT